TGAGTCGACTGCCGCGCGGTTCAACGGATTCGCACGTGGCGTGAGGGAGTGCTTGGCGTTGCGACTTCGCGAGCGTCGTGGCGGTTCCTGTAAATGAAGAGTTTGGTTACCTGAGTTGTTTTGCGGCTAACAAACTGCCTAGAAAAGAGCTAAACTTTTTTAATAGTGAAATTTGTCGAAAATCCGACAACTTTGGTCCAAGATAGCTTACTTTGCAGATTTTGTTAAAATTTCTAAGTTTTCACGTTTACGAAATTGTAAAAATATCATGAAGCTTCTGCATCCTTTATCCAAAAAAATTTAATACTAACGAAACCCCTCTACCCCCCGATAACAGAGAAGATCTTCATTAACTTATTATTTCTTTAAAACGCGACGACACAAACACAAGTTTACAAAAGAGCGTACTTATCGAAAATGCGACAACTTTCGTCCAAAATAGCTTGTTTGACAACTTCTTTTAAACGTCGACGTTTTCACGTTTAATGAATCGCAAAAAAAAGACGTAAAAGCACTTCATAAAATTATTCATGAGAAATCAAACCGCGCAGGAAAAGTCTGCCCCCACCGCTAATAGAATAGATAGGCAACGATTATCTCTTTCAAAACGAACCCTTGGTGTATCCCAAACATCCTCCTCGTCCGATGTGACGATGACGTCTTCCGGAAGTTCCTCCAGGGAAGCGTAGCCGGAGACGCCAGGCGACTTGAAGGTGACTAAAATAAGAAAATTGCAGCTATCCTTTCAAAAACACACTGTATTCCTCGATATCAGCATCCTCGTCGCCAGTCTCATCCTCGCGCATTTTCAGCCCTTCGCTGGTCGACGTGTAGCGAGCGAATCGGTGGCAATAGCTAAAAAAAACGAGTTCAGAAAATCTTCGCAAAACTTACATTTCTTGTTGTTTTTGGACAAGCTTCGGCGGGACTTTGGACCTCTTTAGCTGCCCATCCCAGACCAGGTCGACGAGGCCGCCCTTCTGGGCGATGCTCTTCTTGACACGATTTGCGAAATCGATCGCATCCTCGCCTTCCTAAAGCAAGAATAAAAAGTGCGAGGTAAAACGTACGCGAATCTGCATTGGCGGCAGGTACCAAACGTTGCAAATGATCGCCCAAGAGGTCATCATCCTAAAAAAAACAGAATTTAGGATATTTTCTATCAGAATGGGTAAAATCACAATGCCTAAATTCAGAATGCTAAAAATTCAATTGCCTAAATATCTACTATATATAAATTGTCACTACTATCAGCGCTAGTCAGAATGCCTAAATTATATAATGTTTAGACGCCGGATACGTAAAATTAGAATCCCTAAATTTCAAAAAATTTCAAAATGTATTCAGAATGCCCAAATTTTATATACTAATCCTAATCCACGCACTGAAACTACCCCGTGAAAGTCGGTGTTTCGAAATTTAAGCATTCTGAAATTCAAGCATCTCAAATTTATGCATTCACAGTTTCGACATTATGAAACTTAGACCTTGTGATTTTATGCATTCTGATTTTCGAAAATCCGATTTCAAACAATGTACAAAATTCTCAATTTAAGCGTAACTTATAAACCACAAACCTCAACAGATATTCGCCCCACGACTGCTCGGTGCTGTTCCAGAACGGGTCGCCAAATCGCGAGTCGTACTTCATGGCGATTGGGTAGATGGTGGCGCCAACCTGAAAACATACTCAACAAAACAAAAAAAAAGGCCAAACCTCAAAAGAACCCTTCTTGAACATCATCACCGAGGTGTTGTTGATGCACGTCCCCTCCGGGAAGATGAGGATCGGCAGCTTGTCCGGGTCGTTGACATGCTCTCGTAATCTAGAGATAAATAGTGACAGTGAAAAGGAAGACTCACTTTTTGGCGACGATAGATCGATCCTTGGCCTCGGAACGCTCGAACCAGATATGGGCCGATGCGCGAGAAAGTGCGCGCTGCACGAGACCGAGGATTCCGGGGTGACGCTGCCCAATCAGGGCGTAGACGTTGTCGATCGACAGGATCATCGCGTCCATTGGCGAGGTGTGATTCGCGACGGCAATACCTAAAGATCAGAAATTTAATTGAATCATGAAGCGCACAAACCGCTATTCGGTGGCCTGTTGTGACAATCGTGGAAATTGACGACGGCCGAGACGGAACGCGACAGAATTCGGTAGCAGATCAACATGCAGCTGAAGTTGAGAGACCTAAAAAGATACGTAAATGCCAAGCAGTGGTCATCTACCTCTTGAGCGGCCCTTCCGGGAACAGTCCAATAATTGCCGTGCCGACCACCAGGAAAACCAGGCCAATCCCGAAAATCGAGATTCGCAACGGCAACAGGAAGCAGTAGCGCAGGAAGAAGCCGATGGAGTACAGCAGCGTCAATTTCCAACTAAAGAAAAGAAAAGTCCTAGAAAAATAAAACAAGCTTACTTGACAAATTGATAGAAGCGAAGCGACGTCCGGGTCAGCATATTCCAGCTGACCAGTTGCTCGGCTTCAAATCGAGACGTCACCTCGTCCTCGATAATCGCTTCAATACCAGCCTAGCAAAAAATTAATAAAAGTTAATAAGAGCCATACCTTGACAAAATCCACCGAATCCCTAATGACTGCCCATCCGCGGCTGTTGACGAACACTTCCGTCTCGTCCGCGTCGTCGTCAAAGTTGATCTGCGTGTGCCGGCGGATGATACCTAGAGCGAAAAACTATCCCTAGTACAACAAAAACCAAAATAAAAAATACATAGGTATCTAGCAAAATTAAACTATAAAACTAAGTAAGTACCCACTACTTTTGCGACGAGGTGCCTTGCCGGTGCGACTGCAGACCGACCCGACGGAACTGATGCCTCAAAAAAAGATGTGCATGGTGAAGACAGCAGAAAGCAAAGCAACAAAAGCCCATAGGGTTCTTCTTTTCCATTATCGGGGGAAAATCAATTTTTCCGTAAATTCCAGAAAGGGGGGTTTAATTGAAAAAAGGAGTTTTTTAATAGTAGTTTTAGTAAAATTTGCATAATTTTAGTTCTTATTAACTAGCTAAAAAACTTCGAAAAAGTTTTTCTCGGAAATTTTGGTCGGAAATTGACCATTTTTGCGCGAAAAATCTTCCTCTATTTAAAACAAAAAAATTGGAACTTAACTGAATTCTACCAATAAAAAAAGTTGGTCCCCACCGATAATGGAAAAAATACCGCCTTTAAATTTCATGCGACCAGCACGACGCCAGGGGAGAAGCCACTACAGGTCTAGGCAAATAAAAATCTACTTGTGCCCGAGCCGTGCCTTCTCCTCAAGCCGCTGCCCGATTCGTAGCCGTCACTCCGGTGGTCGGGCTCGTCGTCGGTGAGTTCATCCTCGGTACTAAAATCAGGCAAATAGATTAATAAACTAAAGAAAATACCTTGAAACTACGTCAACTTCCGGTGAATGCGCCATGTTGCATAGGTGCGCCGAGCTCTCGCCGCGCTTGATCTTCTCAAGCTTTTGCGAAGTTTTGATTTGTCGAGCGCCCCACTGATACAAAAAGGATTATAAAAGCAGGCCCCTAGGCGGTAAAAACAATAAAAAAACTCACTTCAAAAATGTAAATCAGGGTGTCGACGTAGATCTTGCGTAACCCGAGGCTTTTCCCGAATGTGGCGAGGATGAGGCAGAGGATGACGGTGACGGCTATCGGCGGGAAGAGAAACGCCGACGCGAAGAAGACGTGCTCGAAGATGGGCCCCATTCCCACTCCTGCTGCTGGCAAGCCAGTCGAGGCCGATGTTGCGCGGGGAGGGCCGTCCTGGAAAAGCTAAAATTAAAAAAACTTCGGCCTGTAAAGAGAAAGAATTGAAAACGATAAAAATAGCACGGTAAGATGAGAAAGTAAGAAAGATACCCAGAGCTACCCAGCGTAAAAAAGATAAGAAAGAAAAAAAAGACATTTTCTCGCATTATCTAGGTTTTAATGTTCTATATTCTGAATCCAACAGTGCAGTAATTATTTTGGCATACCTTGCGGCTTATTTTTTCTGCTCGATAAGCGCCTTTTTGCCCCGGGGGCAGTGTCTACAGGAAATGAGGCAAGAGTTATCAGCAATTGCACGAAACACCCAGATAGCCTCTGCCTATCAGACGGGTTCAAAGGGCGATTCGCGAGGCCAGGCTCGTCGCCCGCTCGGGCTACACATTTCCACTACCCACCCGGAGCTCGAGGTGTAATGCACGTGAATGAGCTGGTGGGTTCCGTGGTAAAGCTGATGGGAAGGTATTTGACAAACGCAGTAAGATATCTTCAAAAACTGGAGCTACAGGTCGGGTTTTGTCGTAAATCGATAGTTCAATTTCCGAATACTTTGGGATTATAGCAGGATTTTGCTCATCCTGTCTCGAAAATCAGTTAGCAAAAAAGATACTAGATTTTCAAATGAGAGTTTCAGAATTATACGAGTTAGACACAATGTAATTTGGACAATTATATGGTTTCTAACGGCGCTAGATTCTCGATTTTTCGAATTTTCAAGCTGTTACAAGACCGAAAAGGCAATTTGCTTCGTAAAGGGATACCGGGCCGGGCGCCCGAAACAAAGCGCCCGCAGCCCCGAACTGGACCCTCGCCCCGGGCGCAATTTGCAAAAGGGCGCAAAACCGCCCCGGGGCAAAAGCGCCCATGGGCGCAACTACGGGGCGCCCGCGGGCATTGATGGTGAACACCTTCAATCTGCAAAAAAACGGCAAGTTCCTGGATTATGCACTATTTATGTTCAAAACAATATAAATTAACAAATACGTTACTAGGTTCGCTTGGTTATGGTCGTCGAATGTAGAATACGATACTGGTGCCATGGGCAGGTAAAGAAGGTAGTGCTACGCAACCAGTCCCTTCAAAAAACTTTAAAAATACTTAGATTTAGATCGATTATATAAGCCAACCTTTCAGACGATCTTGGTCATCATTGCAAATGGGAGCGCGACGTTTCCGGTATCGCTGGCGCGGGGTTGCAAAGTAAGTCGGCAAGAAGCAAATCAAAGCAAGTTTCAGGAGCGGGAAGAAAGTAGTGCGAATTACAAAGTTTATAAAAGAAATTAGGTAATTAGCTACACTTTAGGGGCCGTCTATCGCGCATTCGAACGTATCTGTAAGTTCCAAACGAAGCTGAAGCAAGAAAGCAAAAAACATATTTCAGGTGGCAATACAACCAATTTCTCAGGGAACGTGAAGATCTACATTAAGTATATGGTACAGCATCGTCAAAAGCGAGTAGTGCCCTTTTCAATAATAAAAGCATAGCCGTCCTACGCCGAGCGATGGGGCGCGCCCGCGGGCGCTCGAGTTTCGGGCCCGCGGGCGCTTTACTAACCGAGTACGAGAAAAACCTACTAAACTTTGTAATGAGTATTCGGCCGTATCTGGCCCTAGAAATTATAATACAAACTATTATAAACTTTCTAAGCGTTTTTTCGAGCCTGTAGACTTTTTAATGAAAAGAACTGGGCCGATTCGTCCCAAAACACGCCCCTGACGAATCGAAATGCAATTGCATCAGCGCGAATCATGATTTTGTTTCATCGAAAAGTTCCGGAAAAAGCCGAGCCCAGAAATTGGAGTAAAATGGCGTTAAAAGGTAGTGGAATACCCGGAGGACATTTACTGAAACGCTGAAGAACAGCTGTCATGGCCTGCGGGGGTAACCAGTCAAGCGCTGTCGTTGTCCTCACCAAAGGGACGTCACATGCGGGGGCTGACGCCACGATAAACAACACAACAAAAGAGGCTACGGGCGGTGGAGTGTGTTTTAGCGGGCAATGCCTAGCCACTGCAGACTTGTGTCGAGGAAAGCTTTCAACCAACATTTTGGCCCCGAACCTTAACTTACGATTAGTAATAACTAACTGAAGGCCGATACTTTGTAATGTCCTAGTGGAAGATGCGAAAAAAGAGGCTTATTCCTATGTTTTATTGCCTCTAAAATGATACATAAATTAAAAAATGCCGTTTTAGAACGGTTTGGCCCAGAAACGTCAAATCAAAACAAGTAATAAGTAACTCAAAACCGAGACTTTATAATGTTCTAATGAAAAGACAAGAAAATAAAAACAGCTTATTTCTAGGTTTTCCTGGGCCTAAAAAATTCTAGGAATATGAAAATGAAATTTTGAACGGTTTGGTCCGCGATCAACCTAAAAGGATTTATGGGTAACGTACGAAAAGCATACTTTATAATTTTTTAATAAAAAGTGTGAGAAGAGAAAGCAGAAAATAATATTGATCTTTTTTTCTCTAAGCCAAACCAAACACAAATAATAATCCGACTCAACTAGGCATAGGGGTAACCCCCGGGCTCGTTATAGGCGTTCTTATCAACTTATCAAATGAGCGATGAACGGGTGTCCAGGAAATAATAGCAAAAAAGGAAGCTATTACGAGACAGCTCGGAGAAGGGAGCGCTCCGAAAAAGTCGGGGTCAAGGGTCGTTCTATCTGACCACATTGCTGGAGATTTTTTTGTAGCAACTAGTTGGAGAATATGGGCGCGAATTTTAGGGTTGAGCCTGACAAGGGGTAGTCACATTTTTATGGCTATAGTTTTTACCAAACATCTTTTAAAAAATTACTCTTTAAAAACGAGTGCATAAATTAGACTTGTAAGGTCTGTCTTTAGGGTCTAAGGGCCGTACTGAGAATAAAATTAGAGCTGTTTTCCCCTGCTATCAAAAGCCCGACTCCTATCAGTTGGGTATGTTTTGACCGAGGGCACAGACAGCGGAATACAATTTTTCTCGATTTTCAAGGTATGGAATTGATTACGTTTTAAAGGGACGGGTAAGGCAGCAGGTTGGCAGCGTGAGATATGGATTCCCTACGAATCTGACTCGCTCGCAAGCCGCAACGCAAGGGTCGGTACTGCTTACATGATGGACGCCTCACCTCGGCGTAACGGTGCGTGCGTTGCGTATCGCGATGTCGTCAGATTCATGGGAAATCCATAGTCATGCCTTCTCGGTTCCTTTAGAAACCAAGCGAAGCTCAACCGTGCGATTCGGATCCAAAGAGCTGCTCGATAAAATAGCCTCAAGCTATCCAGTCCAGATCAGTGCTCGGGTCAAGGTGGCTATGTTACAGCCTGAACCGAAAGACTCAAGGCTTTGTGACGGGGCCAGAGAAAAAGTCAATCTTGGTCCCGGTCAATGAACGGGATATTACGGAGAGGTGCATTGGGATTCAGCGGCAAATAAGAAACTCGCCAAAGTAGGACGGGTGGGTTGATCGGCACTGGGGGGGGGGGGGGCTGAAAAGTGGTGATGCTCGATTGATAATAATCAATCTGCGATCGGGATATTGGGTGGTTGGGGGTGTATGGGATCAGGGTGATGGATGTTACGACAAACGGGATGGACAGTCAGGGAGAGAAGGAAAAGCTGTGGAGTGTCGTGAATCTGACGAAACGTGAGGATGTGGTGATGGATTTTTCGATGTAGCAGAGCTTGTTAGTGGCGTCGGGTTTCAACTCCGGTATCCGAATCTGAGTCATGACGTGGCCTAAACTTACTACTGAAAATAATAAAATTACAGGAAACAGCGAAAGCTGTTTAAAGGGAACAGGAAGCGAAAATCTACCCCTATTTTCGATTAGGTCTCGACAACTCCGCGAAACTACAAATGACGTGCGCTAACTTGCTAGCTCACCAAATCTCGAGATTGACACTAACTGAATGGGTAGTATTCGCGACGTTTTGAGAGCTAAAAATCTTTAAAGGAAACAGGAAGCCAAAATTTACCTATATCTTCGGTTAGGTGTCGACAGTTCCGGTACACTATACTTACCTGATACTTTTCCTTTCGATTTACGGCGTCAAGTGCTCGTATTTTGGAGCAACGCGTAGTTGTCGACGCCTGGTATATCGAGGCCGTCGATTTTCGCGCTTCTGAATCCCTTGAAAATTCACAATATATGGTTTTGACCGGCTTTCTTAGCCTTCATGTTACAAATCCACTAATTACTTCCCCTATGAGCCAGCATCTGTTCCCCTCCCATCCCATTTACGGCCTTCCATAATAGCCGGCACAAGCTCTTGCCATTCACCCTGCTGACAGCAGCCTAATCAGTCGTTGTGCGCCTGGTCTCCGGCGTGTTCCGTTCTGTGTATGCTGCCGGAATTCTTGGCTGCTGGAGGCGAATAGGCATAAAGGGAGGCGCGTCGTAAACTGCCGTAATCGAGGAAGCGCCTTGTATGGGGTAGTGGCTGAGAGGCTCGCGTGCTCTCCGGCTACTACCATGCATGGCTAATGTTCTCGGAATCTGCTGGAACGCAACAATATCTGACTTTGTTGACACGGAATTTGAATTCGAGTTTGCTACAATTTTTAAGGTATTTTTTATATGTTTTTCGTTACAAGGGTTCTATCATTAATGCCCCCTTTCCAAGAAGCTATCTCGCCTTTTAAGGAGTTTTGGAGCGCTCAAATAACTATTTTTAATGCACATTTTTAAGAGATAAAAACGGTAAATCGACAGAATCTCGAATGAAAAAATCTCGAATGACAAAATCTCGAATGGTCAAAATCTCGAATGAACAAATCTCGAATGCCAGGATTCCCACTGATATCCTAATCTAGTTTCGTCTGGCTCGATCCAGCATCGATTTTTTTACTAGTTAATAATTTTTTACTTTACTAGCTTCTATCTAATACAAAAAAATCGATGCTGGATCGAGCCAGACGAAACTAGATTAGGATATCAGTGGG